CATGTCTCCTTTTTGCCCTCCTGATTTCCCTCTTAAGAATGCCCCTACACGCCTTATGCTCTTTAAGAGATTCACACGATCCCAGTTGTCTAAATCTAACATATGCTTCCTTCTTAATCTTCCAGTGCAATTACAACACTGCAACACTGACATCTACTTAACAATGTGGAAAATTGTCCAGGAAAATGTTCTGTACGCAAAATGCAGGACAAATCCAACCCAACCAATTACTACCCCATCAGTTCACTTTCGATCATCAATAAAGTGATGGAAAATGTAACCAACAGTGCTGTTAAGCAACACCTACTCAGTAATAACCTGCCCACTGACACTCAGTTTGGCTTCCACAAGTGCCACCCAGCTCCTGACCTCATTACAGCCTTGGTTCCACATGGACAAGAGAGCTGAATTCCAGAGGTGAGATGAGAGTGATAGCTCTTGACATCAAGGTCACTTTCGAAGTCACATCAAGGAGCCTTAGCAAAACTGGCATCAATGGGTATCAAGGGGCAAACTCTCTGTTCGTTGGAATCATGGAAACATGGGAACAGTAATAGGCCATTCAACATCTCAAGCCTGTTCCACCATTCAATGAAATCATGGCTGATCTGTGGCCTAACTCCATAGACCTGCCTTTGGCCCATATCCCGTGATACCTTTGCTTAACAAAAGTTTATCAATCTTGGATTTAAAATTAACAATGGATCTAGCATTCACTCCTGTTTGTGGAAGAGAGTTCCAAATATCTATCACCCTTTGTGTATAGAAGTGCTTCCTATCATCTCTACTGAATGGCTGGCCCTAATTTTCAGACTATGCCCGTAGTTTTAGAATCCCCAAGCAGTAGAAATAGTTTATCTTTATCTAACCTGTCTTTTCCAGTTAATATCTTGAAGAGTTTAATCAGATCACCCCTTAACATTCTAAAGTCTAGAGAAAAGAGGCGAAATTTGTATAATCTCTCCTCATAACTTAACCCCTGAAGTCTAGGTATCACTTTGTAAACCTACCTCCAAGGCCAACTTACCCTTCCTAAGGTATGGTGCCCAGAGCTGCTCATGGTACTCCAAGTGGCGTCCAACCAGGGTTTTGTACAACTGCAACATAACTTCTGCAACCCTGTAGTCTATTCCTGTAGATATAACGGCCAACGTTCCACTGACCTTCATGATTATTTTCTGCACCTGTCTCTGACATTTTAAAGAAGTATGCACCTGAGCCCTCAAGTCTCTTTGGACATCCACTGTATTTGCCTTCACACTAGCTAGAAAGTACCCTGGTCCAAAATGGATAACCTCACATATGCTTACATTGCACTCCGTCTGCCACAGTCCTGCGACTCACTTAGACTGCCTACATCCCTTTGTGATTTTATTACCCTTTATTATCACTCAACCAAATCCCACCCATATTAGGGGTTAATATTTTCCCTGTTGATGCTTGTGTACTGGCAGAAAATAACTTTAAATGCACTGTCCAAAAAGACACGCCACAGTTTAATGTCTGAAGTTCTTGTTAAACCAATTGACTGTTGCATTAAGCGTGACACCCTTACTGTATTCAGATTTATTGCCTGCTGGCAAGGTCATTAGCTACTCAAGGTCTTTGTTTGAATAAGGGAATATCTATTCTGTATATGTGTTCATATTATCCTTCACTGTTTCTTGCTACAAGTTCAAAACATGTCCTTTACATAAAGTTATGAATTGACATGAATTGTTTTAGGAGAAATACATTTATTAAATATTTAGAATTTAGAACTTGACCCAGATATGGAATAATAGGTAAAATTTGATAAACCTGCTATATTATATGGATTCCTATCAGAATACCATAAAGGGTATATTGTAGTAGCTATTACAGAGAACTAGTTATAGATTGGTCATGTCAAGGTGCTAGTATGATATTTCAGGTGATAGGCAGTGGATAGAACAGATTTCACTGTGGGTGACCAGGCAGTAGTGACGCTGTGGGTAGAATTCAGGACCAACACCCAGACAGGAATCATCTACTGGTTTCCTCTGAACTTGTTCGGGATGGGGGATGGTGGTGAGGTGTATTGGAGGATGTATGAATATAAAGATCAGGGATGTGTGTAGAAAAAGGAAAGTGGCTGAAATGAAAGATATTTATTTTCCCAAAGATTGAGGAAGCAGAATGGCTCCAGCAGTAAGGCACTGAACTGGGGATTGATGTCTGGAAAAATGAGGATAATGTTAACTACCTCAGTGGTTAAGAGGTTAAGAACAGATAAAAACAGGAAACCGCTCCCATGCTAAACGCTTCCACTTTTAAAGGTGGTGGGTCAAAGCAATCCATCCTCAGCAGGCAGAATTGAACACTCCATTTCTCACACCTCCATGGTTACCAACCATTTCCCTCATGAAACAATGGATTAAAAGCAAACTGCTTTTGGACAGAAACATTTACAGCTTGATCTGGAACCAAAAATGTACCAGTGTCTAGCAATCTCCACATTTTCTTCAGTGATAAGAAATAACCTGACGATGTTTGTACAAAATGATGAATGGTTTTCATTACAGTAGGGGGATTCTCTTTACACTGACAGGTGAGAGGGCATAGATTTGTGTTAGTGACAAAATGCTGGGGAGATAGGAGGAGAATTTATTTTTGAACCAAAATGTTTGAACCAATTTGTTACCAAATGGAATAGTCTGTAAAGTGAGTGTGGTGGAAGCAGACTCAATAAGTCTCACAAGGATCTGTGGGTTGCACAACCTCCTTTTCTGTTGTATGATCGTGTAATGAAATCTCTCCGCAAAGATGAAAAACAAACATAAAGCTGAAATATAATAAAGAGTAGTCAATCCACATTTTGGAAGGGAAGACAATGCTTGACCAATTTAATTGAATTTGTTGAAGAAGAAACAGGAAGAATTCAAGGATTTAGATTTTCATAAGGTCATTGGTTAACTAGCAAGCTCATAAATAAGGTGACAGCACTTGGAGTAAGTGAAGTAGTAAGTGAATCGATAGCAAGCTGGCTATAAAACAAAAGAGTCAGGATTGGAGATAGTAATTGCTGGAAGTTGGGAAGTAGTGTTCCATAGCAATCGGGGCTGGAAGACTGCTGTTCACCATTTATATAAAGGATTTCAATTTGGGAACCAAAGTACAATGTTAAATTTTTCAGATGACTCTGTGTTTGAGAGTACAGTTGCAAAATGGACATGTAAATGTGAATTAAAACTTAATATAGGTGGGTGTGTGTTGGTGTATTTTGGTGGTAGCATGAGAGGCCACAAAATCCTTGGAAAATAAGAGTCTGAATAAGGCAGAGGAACAAAGGGATATACATTTGCAGGTAATGCAATCTTACATGGCCATTAAGAAGCAAAGGATGGCATTTATTTCTAGATGAATAGAACTGAAAAGCAAGTATGTTAAGCTTATACAGTGCCTTGGTTAGAACACACTTCAGAGTCTACGTACAATACTGGTATCCATGTTATAAAATGGTATGATGAAAGTGTAACAAAGTTTACCAGAATGATATTAAAATTGAGAGCTCATAATATGATGAAGGTGTAACAAAGTTTACCAGAATGATATTAAAATTGACAGCTCATAATATGAAGAAACACTATAGGCTGGGACTTTTTTTTTGTCTTGGAACTAGAAAGCTGAGAAATGATGCATTGAGATCATTAAAGTTGTGAAGTATTTTGATAGGGTAGACATTTCCACTTGTAGGGACTCAAATACAAAGTTTCATACATGGATGATAGTCATTAATATATCTGTCAAAGAACTCAGGAGAAACCTCCTTAACCAGATAGTCGTTAGTACTTGCTACCACATTGCATAGTTAAGGCAAATAGAAGAGATGCCTTTAAGAGGAAATTAGATAAGTGCATGAGGAGGAGAGGAACTGAAGGAAAAGTAGAAAGAGTTAAATGAGATAGGATGGGAAGATGCTCAAATGGAGCATAAACATCAGCATTGAGCAGCTCGGCTGAATGGCCTGTTTCTGTGCTGTAAATTCTATGATTGTGACAAGAAATCCCATTATTTGACTGTTAGCAGTACAATGTGAGACCTACTTGTATGTGTCAAAGGATTCTTGGCAGTAAACCCATCTCAAAATTATCCCTGTCTTGGTCTATGTACTGCTGAAACCCTCATCCATGTCTCAATTACCTCCAGACTTGGTAACAGCACCTCATTCTTGCTTATCTCCCACATTCTATACTCCTTAAACTTGAGGTCATCCAATCTCTGTTGCCTCTGTGCCCTAACTGAGGACAAGTTCCACTTCACACTCACCCCTGTGCTCGCTGACCTGCGTTGGCTTCCAGTCAGGCAACATCTTGATTTGAAAATTCTCAGAGATTCTCAGGAACTGCAGATGCTGGAGAACCTGAGATAACAAGGTGTAGAGCTTGAAAATTCTCAGTCTTGATTTCAAATCCCTCCATGGCCTGGCCCCGTCCTTATCTTAAAAGCGCTGTTGTAGTATATATATTATGTTGTTACAATTTTCTTGAGCTTGCCGTTTTTAGATTGTGAATTTATGGACCATCTTGTGATTTTAAGAGAGTTTTTCTAATATTCTCGACATAATACCATTCCTTGACAAGCAATTGTCGATACATTATAAAAAAAGTGTTGTCAACGTTTGTGGCCTTTAAATTTCAGATAGAATACGAGCGTGTATCTATGACGAGGATTTACAACCTGTTTTTGTTTGCACTGATGCATAAGTTCCTGGTAAAGGAACACGTTGAGAAATATTGGAAAGCAGCACCCAATCCAAATCACAATCCACACTTTCTTTTGTATAGTACGTGGCACAACAGATGGCAGCTCAAGGGAACTTTTAAGATGTTAGCTTTATATAGTGGAATGGAGTTAAAATGCTTACACTATCATGAGGGGTGTAAAATACTCATATTTCATAAGTCAGCTGAATCTCATTCTGCCCTGGCTAGTTTGTACTGACTGATCAAGCTTAGATCTGTGCAGCAAACATTTCAACTAGTCATCATGTGATCCAGGAGAACAGGAAGTTCGAACCCAGAAATCCTTTATTTCAGGGCAAAGTGCACTAAACCTAACTTCCCTTCATCTCAAACTCCTAAAAGATGCATTGAATGCCGACGTTGCTGGGGGAGCTGTTTTATGTATTGTACTTTGTTACACTGTTGATTAAATCTAGCTGCTTCGAGACTCCCTCGTCGGAAGGAACTCTCTGGACTCTAGTTGTTTCAATTCACCTTCAGTCCGCTGCTGCTGATAAACCCTGAACGGATTAAGTTTACTCCAATATGGTGAGTGACAGAGGGATAGTCTTAACAGACATGGTGTGACTAATAGACATTGTTGCAGTGGTACGTCAGAAAGAATGAACGTGTGTCGTACACTGAATATGTTTGAATGAATTGCTGTTTCTTTAAAAGTTACATTGAGTTGGTAAATTAGGGCAGTGATCAAATCTATGTGGTATGTGTGTGTCTATGCATACGTGTGTCATAGCACAGTCGGGATCAGTCCTGCTGTAGGATGATCAAATTCACACTTTTGAACCAGAAGAAAACAATGTATTCTTATGAAAACAATATCCCACACAGTCCAATGCTATAGTAGGCCAGTTAAGAGCACTACAAGCAAAGGAGCAGTGCTGCGAAAGCTTGTGATTTCAAATAAACCTGTTGGGCTACAACCTGGTGTCGTGCGACTCCTGACTAGTACCACTGTGGTGGTGGTGGGACCCTTGCCTTTGATTTAGAAGTGGGTTCCAGTCCAGGAATGATTGCAACTTCCCAACTCTTTGCCCACACTGTGACCCATTTTCACGAAAATGATATTTTGAAAACTGCTGTGATTCCCTCAATGAGAACTGTGAGAGAGAGTGGGTGGAGGATGGGGTTGTGGGTCTGGGTGGGTGGGAGTGTTGGGAGCTAGGGCGAGGTGGGAGTGAAACCTGTGAGACCCAAGGGCAGAGGAGAGGTAAAGTGTTTAGCCTGCAAGGATTTTTGAAAACCTACCTTTTTTGCAGAAGCTTTCTTTTAGAGTTAGGAATCAAGCCTCAAAGATCACTCTGTTAGAAGCCCAGGAAAAGAGACAGTTGAAAAAGGGCCACACAGCTTGGTTGGAGCTCCATGGCAGCGATTACTGCCATGCATCTCATCACCCCACTGTGGGGTCAGCGTGGGGGGATCATGACCTACAGTTTTGATAAGCGTGATATAAGGACTGAGACAGGGAGCATACTGTCATCGAACATAGAACAGTACAGTTCAGGAACATGCCCTTTGGCCCACCATGTCTGTGCTGACCATGATGCCATTCTAAACTAATGCCATTTACCTGCACACGGACTGTATTCCTCTATTCCTTGTTTGTTCATGTGTCTGTCCAAATGCCCCTTGTTAACATATCTGCTTCTACCACCTGCCCTGGCAGCACGTTCCAGGCACCTACCACCCTCTGTGTTTTTTAAAAACTTTCTTTGCCCATCTCCTTTAAACTTTTCCCAAATGCATGTTCCCCTGCAAGCTTACTTTTATACTTGTTCCCCCTCTTAATCAATCCCTTTGTCTTCCTTTGTTGAAATCTGAACTGGTCCCTTTTGTGATCAATTTGTATGCTCTTTCCTTGGATCTAATACTTTCCTTAATTTAAACCAAAAGAACTGCAGATGCTGTAAGTCGGGAACAAAAACAGAAATTGCTGGAAAAGCTCAGCAGGTCTGGCAGCATCCGTGAATAGAAATCAGAATTAACATTTCGGGTCCGGTGACCCTTCCTGAGAACTGAGTTCTATCATATTATGGTCACTCTTCCCCAAGGGGTCTCACGTAGCTAGATTGCCAATTATTCTTTTCTCATTGCGCAATGCCTAGCCTAGGATAGCAAGAAATGCAGGTGCTGGAGTCAGAGATAACAGTATGGAGCTGGAGGAACACAGCAGGCCAGGCAGCATCAGAGGAACAGGAAAGTTGACGTTTCGGGTTGGGACCCTTCTTCAGAAAATGGATCCCAGTCTGGGATGCCCTGTTCTCTAGTTGGTTCCTGAATGAATTGATCCAAAAAACCATCCCTTACTCCAGGAATTTCTTCCTCTAAATAGATGTTTCCAACATAGAATCTCATGAAGTTAGCTGAGCTTTTATTGATTCTTTTGAACCTTTTGCACTACAGCTTGAAAGATGATTTTTAAACATAAATGTTGAAGTGGAGTTTTAAATTTATTCTTGCATGGGATGTGGGCATTGCTGTTTGTTGTCCATCTCTCTTGAACTAGTGGTTTGCTTGGCTACATCAGAGGGTAGTTAATTGTCCATTACATTGCTGTGCATCTGGAGTCACATGTGGGTCAGACTGGGTAGGGACAGCAGAATGCGGTTAGTGTACAAAATGGGTTTTTATGACAATCAAGAATTCGTGGTCACAACTAGTTTTAAGTTCTAGATTTATTAATTGAATTTAAATGCTGATAGCTGACATGATTGGGATTTGGACACATGGACCTAGAGCATTTTCCTCTGAACTGTACTTTTCTTAATTGAGTTTTTCAAGAAGTATGAATCTTTTCATTATTAAACAAAAAAATGAAGGAAATTTAGTTTTTTTTTGTAGAATAATGTAAACAAATGTCAAACTTATTCCTGACAAGCATCACCAAGCTGCTGAAATGATGCCATTGTGGAAGATTCTAGTCAAACGAACCATCTACGCATGTAGTTTCTGACAATTTTAAAAGCACAAGATAGAATCAAAGGAGGCAAGTATGACATCAAATATACAAGTACGACTTCTCTAAGTTGCAAAGGCAGTCAGTACTCAGCAGCAATTAGGCTATTAATAATGGATTTATAGTCAGCCTGTGCAATTATGGGAGATTTTGCAAGTGGAACACCCGGAACATTCCCTGTATTTTTAGAAATGAACGTACAGGATGTTTGTAACTCCTGCCAACTTCAATGTGTTACACCATGTTCTCATCATTTCGAGGTTAAGCCCCACGTCTCTGGAGCATTGAAACTATTCAGCCCCTCAAGTCTGTTCTTCTACTCTTTTTGGATCATGGTTTATTTGTACCTTAAGCCCATCTCCTCACTGTGATTCTGTAACCGAAAATACCCAGACCTGACAAATATCTATCAATCTCAATTTCAGTCCTTTCAGTTGACCAACCCAAAAGCTTTTGGGGACGGGGTGCTGGGTGCGGTGGGTGGTGAGGTCCAGATTTCCACTATCCTTAATGAGAAGAGGTGCTTCCAGTCCACGCTGATATTGAGGTTCTGTTTCCTAGCCCCCCCCCCCACCCCCCCCCCCCCTCTGCCCCCACACTCCCCCCCCCGCCCCCACCATGGTCGACTCCCATATCCCAGAGGAAATAGTTTCCTGTAAATCCACAGTGTAACCCTTGATTCAAAAATTGGGGCTGAGGCTTTCAGCAATGAGTTAATGCTTGGTGATCATATAATATCTGAAAAGCTGCAAAGCCAAACCTTCGAACTTCCCCGTTGAATGACCCAACAATTGAAGTGGAAGATCAGAAGTTAGTCCCTGAGAAAATAATGTACAGATGCTGACCTTCTTTCCAATCATTTACATGAATCAAAGTTATAGCGAGAGGTTAGGATGACCTTCTCAGAAATTGGAGTCAGTTTACAACATCTTATTTCAGGAGCATTTTACAACTGATCTGCCATAATTTTAAGATTACATCCCTTTAGTCTGGACCTCCGCACCACAGGATTGATGTCACACTGACTGTACTGAACAATTTCTTTAATAATGAACTCTTCACCTAGATCATTGTTTTCCCTTCGATGTTTGAGGAAGTACATGTCTGGACTGTGAAACTTGTCATCATAATTTAAGCTCTTGTGTCATTCTAGTGAAGCTGTTCCTCCAAGTTTTCTAAATGGGGTCTAACCAGAGTATTATATAATTATAACACAATGATAGCCTAGTAATTAATCATTGGTTGGGGATTGATTAACTCTGTGGATTAGTTTATTTAAAACAATGAAACTCATCACATGTCATGGAGCAGACATTACATCAAGCTACTGATTTGTGTGTATACAAAGCAGGCACACTGCCAAGCAGAGTCACAACATAAGACACACACAGCATGTGGAGTCATTAAAAGTAAGCTCTTTTAAATACATGTTATACATTTAAACACCCTGCTCATTTGCAACAGAAATTTGACTATTTGCAATAACGAGAGCACAAGAGATTCTAAAAAGTATTTGCTGATGTGTGCAGATCTCAGATGGTCACTTTGCCTGGAGTGCTGTTAGTTGTCCACATTTATCAGTGATGTTGTCCATAGTTTGTGTTTGAATTGTCAAGTTTTTCTTTCAGGGAATGCAATTGCTTTTATACAATTCACTCATCCTGATGCACACAGCCAGAAATTGTTCCAGATTAGCCACTGACTGATCTTGTTTCTCTGGAGTGGTCCTTCTCTTTTTGGCATTTACTGTTATGTTCCTTATGAATTTCCATCTCATTTTGAAGCCTGTAGTTTTACATTCTGGATTCTTCTAATTCTACCAAAGTTTTAGCCTTTGGACAGAGCATTATATTGTCTCTTTCATAAACTGTAGTGTTTCTCCAACCCCATTTTTAGTTTTGTTTTCTTTGAAACCTGGACCTCTTCCACTTGCTGCTTCAATGGCTATTTAATTTCCTGTATTTCATGCTTGGGTTTTGTTTTTTGCTGGTATCATTGCTGGCATTTATTTCCGAAAGTGATTCGAAACTCCTCGTGCATGCCCAAGGTTTCTTTTTTCCTCCAGCATTGCTTTGAACTCCAGCCAATGTTTCTGTAGTTGCACCTGCTGAGCCTGATCTGTTTTACATGTGAGTTTATCCAGATCTAAACTGGCAGTGTTTTCATTGGATTGATGAAACAGAGCTTGGACCTACTTCCTTACTTTCAGCTCATTATTCATCTTGGGGAGCTGACAGAAGTATTCCCTTAGGACTCACTGGCAGACAGTATTCTCAATTTTGAATTTAACCTTTTTCTGCATACCTGTTGCTGCTCCTGGCATGCTCATTTGTACACTTCATTGAACCTATGTTGATCCTTTCGCTTGGTGGTATGGTAGAGTGGGCGATATGCCAGGCCACAGATTGTGTTGGAGTACGATTCTGCTGATGCTGATGGCCCATAGGACCTCATGGATGCTCAGTCTTAAGTTGCTATAACTGTTTGAAAGCTATCATTTTTTGTACAGTAGTATTGTCATGCAACATGATGGAGGATATTATTAATAGGAAGGCAGGATTTCACCTCCAGAAGGATTGAGCAGTGGTCACTCCTACTGATAATACCATGTACAGATTCATCTGCTCCAGCTAGATTAGTGAGGATGAGGTCATGTAGGTTTTTCCCTCATCAGCTGTCTTGCCACCTATCACAAACCCCAATCTAGCAGCTATGTCCTTTAGGCCTCGGCCAGGTTGGTCTGTACTGGTGCTGCCGAGCCACCCTCAGTGCTTCCTCCAAGTTGTGCTCAACGTAAGAGTATCACTGATTCATCAGCCATTGGAGAACAGTATGTGGTAATCAGCAGGAGATTTCCTTACCCATGTTTAACCTGGAACCATGAGACCTCATGGGATCAGAGACAAATTTGAAGATTCCCAGAACTAATCGATCATGTCTGTATCCCACTGTGCTGCTGCCTCTGGTTAGTCTGGCCTGTTGGTGGGAGTGGGCATACACCGGGAATGTAGCCATGCTCACAGAATAATGCCTTACCAGGTCAGATTGTTAAGTCTATGGGACAGCTCTTCCCAATTCTGGCGTGAGCCCAAGATGTTGGTATAGAGGGCGTTGCGGGGTCAACAGGCTTATGTTTGTCATTGTCATTTCCAGCACCTTAGTTGCTACCAGCAAGTCCATCTGATTTCATTCCGTTTTTTAAATGTGACTTTGTGGCAGTTAGATACAACTGAGGCTCACTTGGCCATTTCAGAGGGCAGCCACACTGCTCTAAATCTGGAGTCACATGTAGTCGTACCAGGTTAGGATGGCAGAGGATAAAGTGGTAAACAGCAAGATCCCCAATGATTAGACAAGCCAATATGATGCCCATGGACTGCAGAGAATTTATGATTTCAGACTGTTTTGTTTAGAAAGAAAGCAAGATCTGGTGACATTGTCTGAGTCTTGAAGTATAACTTCTGGCGAAAAAGATAATAATCTCGGCAACAATATATTTAATTATTTATGGACTATGGTAGCAGTTCTACGCTGCGTCAAGTGTTGCAGCAAAAGCTTTCTTTTCAATTCCCATCCATCATTAATTTTCACTTTGATTCTGACAATTGATATTTCTGTACAGTGCATCATGGAAGCCAAAGTCAACAGTTTGCAGAGATGCCTCGACAGTATTTACAAGGTAAAATACCAAATTTGTTGATTTATTAGTTCCATTGACTTCTACATCCCTGATATTATTTTCCTTCTTATGCCAAGAACCAAGGACTTTATTGGGAGGATACCAGGCAGTGATCTCCAGTCTCCACTTATAAGATTAGCAAAGGGAATTTGATTTTCTGTCTGCTTGCTCTATACTCATTACTTCTTTGTGAATAAAATGATTGCTGACATTAAGGGCAAGAATGGCCAGTCATCTGTGATGTAACCGGAACTGGCTGTTTAAAGAGCGGTAGAGAGAAGACTCGGCATCCAAAGGCGCTTGACTCTGGGCGGCTAATAGAAAGGGCAGTGAACTCTGGAATTCACTCTTCCACCTCTCCACCTTTCCTTTAAGACTCTACTTAAAGCCAACCTTCTTCTGAAGCCAAGAAAATACAGGAAACTCCCATCAGGTCAGGCAGCATCCGTGGAGAGAGTAACAGAATTAATGATTCATGCCTGTGACCTTTCATCATAATAATTCCTTGCTCTAGTTTTCTTGACCAAGTCTTTGGTCAACTGCCCTAATGTCTCTTATATATCGGGGTCAACCTGTCGTCTGATTATGTTCCTGTGGCGTGGTTTGAGATGTTTTATTATGCTAAAGATGCTTTACCAATGCTAGTTATTCTTGCTGTTGTTGACATGGTGCTGGCCAGTTACCAAAGCAAAAGATAATCAACATGACCACTTGTCCCTAACCACTGCTTTCAACTGCAGCTTATTTCCAGAGTCTAAGGACAAACATGCTGCTTTGTCTATGAGGTTCCCAGCACAGACATATCCATTCCAAGAAACGTGAAGGTCTGTGTCATCAAAAATGTACAAGGGCTTCATAAAGACTAGATGTGAAATTAAACTTATTTAAACTCAATTAAAGGCAATGTAAACTCAACGTAAAATCAAGGGACTTCATTTATCTCAGTCGTGATCCTTTCTAGGTTATTAGAACTGCAAATGATACCTTGTGTGCCATCAGCAAGCCATCAGTGTGCAGTGAAGTGTTGCTGTCTCCACAAGGAATCACTTATATCTCAGGTGAGTGACACTTCACTATTGGCCATGCTGATAGCTCTGATAGATAGCAGATTTAGACAATATTTATATTAGAGAGAAGCTCCAGCATCCATTAAATTTCAACAGACAGACTGTATCCTGTGTCCAATATCTACTTCCTAACACTGGTTCAATTTACATCAGAAATGGTACAGCAGTCATATTGCCACCTCCACACCTGGCACAGCTCATCTGCTTCTGAAACCTTCATCCTTGCCATTGTTACCTCCAGACTTGATAACCCCAGTGCTCTCTCTAGTTGGCCTCCCATCTTTCACCCTCCAAAAGCTTGAACTTATCCTCAGTTTTGTTCATCACCCACATCAAGTCCTATTCACCCATAATTCAACAACTCTGTGACTTGGTAGCTTCAGGTTTGGGGCAGCATCTTGAATTTAAAATTCTCGTCCTTGTTTTCAAATCCCTCCATTGCTTTGTGCCTTCCTGTCTCTGTCATCTATTCCAGAATCTCAACCCCTCACAATCTCGCTATTCTGAACTTTGTATCTACATAATATTGCTCATTGGTGCCATACCTTCAGTTGCCTGTGAAGTAGGCATCAAAACATCTTCTTCACCTCTCTGCCCTCCTTTTAACATTATTTTGTCTTAAAATCTACCTCCTTTGCTAAACTTCCAGCTGTCTGCCCTTATGCCTCATGTGGCTTGGTGCCAAATTTGTTTGTTAATGCATACGTAAAGTGCCTGAGGACATTTGACTATGCTCATGGTGCTGTATAGCTGCAAGTTGTTTCAATTTTGGCATTCCCATTTTAAAAAATATCCTGTGGCTAAATAAATTCTGCTGGCGGTAAAGAGACAGACTCGTTTTTTTTTCCTACTACTGCTGGAATGGCTCAGTATCCTGTCCTATAGGAAAACAATTGAGTTTGCCAGTGTGGACTGGGTGGGAAGGACTATTGTTCTGAACTTTTTATTTCTCTAATTTCTAATTTATTCCTATGATCTGTAATGCTGGACTGTTTATTTCTTTATTTTTCTAATTTTTGTTTCCTAAGAACTTGTACTGAAAAATCTGTGCCTAGGTACCTTGTACCTAAGATGGCACTGTGAGTGGCAAATTGAAACTTTTCACTGTACTCATTTGAGTACATGTGGCAATAAACCTAGTTCAATTCAATATTAGCCACTAAGGAAGGTATGGTAGCTGGGACATGATGGTTAGCAGGAACTAGTTCTGATTTTCTGTGTACTGCAGTAGTAGGAGCCATCTTACTTGTGGGATTTTTAATAAAACTTCTTGAATGGCTGTGATGGGAAGATCAGTATTACGAAGTACACTGCCAGCACTGACAATGAAGTGTAATGAACATTATTTAGTCTGACAGGGTTTTAGGAAGATACTCAGGATACCGAATGAGGTGGAGAAAGTAACTGAGGAAAAGTTTTGATAAGGGTGCTGTAGCAACGTATACTTCAACACCCATGTGTCAGCCTGGAACTATAGATAGTAATAGTGGAGGCAATAATGTTCTTTTCATCACATCTCTGACCAGGAATGTTTCCTGCTCCTATGACCTTTCGTCATAAATTGGAAAGATTTACAACTAAAACTGGACCATGGATTAAATTAAGGGACTGGACGCTGTTAAGAGAAGATGATGAGATTAGCATTCTGGAGACACAAAAAAAAGCTCTCTTCATTTAACCCTGCCCAGTGATCTTGTGACCATTCCAATTTATTCTACTTTACAAATATACATAGTATTATTTTATTTCTTTATTTTCTCTTTTTTTTGTACCTAGGTACTTTGTACCGAAGATGGTGCTGTGTGCTGGCGACATTTGTAGATGTTTCACTGTACTCCTGTTCTTTTGTAACTTGAGTACACGTGATAATAAACCTAAATCTAATTCTAAACTCTGAATGGGTTAAAAATGACTTTGGGGAAAGGAACATCTGTTTTGATGTAAAACTTTTATTTAAGTGGTTAAGTTTGTACAAATTGAAGATGCAGGGTCTACCATAAAAACACAAATTTCTCTATGACTTGTACTGAGCTCATAGTGACTCTGCCCAATCAGATAATTTTAAATCTAAGTGTGCATTAATCAGTATGATAGATTCAAGCATTTCCCCTACAACTGATGTGAGGCTTAAACATGTGTAGTTCCCTGTTTCTTTTCCCTTGCCTATTTCTTAAAAGTGATATTTGGTACCTTCCAATCACCAGGAATTATTCCAGAATCTATAGCATTTTGGAAAATGATAATCAAATGCATCAGCTATCTCTATAGCTACCTCTTTCAACACTCTGGGATGTAGATCATCAGGTCCTGGGGACTTACCAACTTTCAGTCCTACTTATTTCTCCAGAACAATCATCTTAGTTGTACTAATTTCCTTCAACTCCTCACCCCCTTAGCTCACTTGGATTTCTGATTCTGAAAGAATTCTTGCATCTTTCCCCATGAAAACAGACACAATGTAATCCTTCTGCCATCAGAAGAAGTACAGGCAGTTCCTGGGTTATGAAATGATTCCATTCTTGAGTACATATGTAAGTTGATTTGTGTGTAAGTGGGAACACAATACAGTACAATATAAAATAGCCATTCACTTGTAAGAGGAAATGCTCATATGTAAGAACTTATTACTATTAATACACCCCTTTATGCAATCTCATTCACAAGTATGATTGTTCCTAAGTTAGATGTTTGCTAATTTGGGACCGCCTGTAATTTGCAGGGAGAAGGTAAAATCCTGATTATAAAGAGGAGGTTTCATGCATAGGAGGAGGGCAAAAATAAAAAAAAAAAATTCAGACTTTGCAGCGAATTTCTTTTATAGGCAACTGGAGCTCAACACAACAAGTAAATGTACTGTTTCAGCATCCATGCTCATGAAATGTTAATGGAACAGGTTTGTAACTTAAAACGATTTTCAGGCAGTTAGATACAATAATAATCAGAAGTCCAACATAATGGTAGATTGGTTATCACTGATTTCTTGCAAGGTTTTTGAGGCTGGTACACTGTGAAGTCAGAGCGAAATTAAAAAAAGGTACTAAGAAAAGCAAAAGAAAGATGAGAAGAGACTGGCAGCTAAGATTAAAGTGAGAACAGAAGTTGTCAACCATCATTTTGGTCCCATATCTCCCCCACTCCTAGGTATATAAATAGTAAAATAGTGGTAAAGGTGGAGTGGAGCTGATTTGGAAACATTGAGGGTTTATGCATGGGGGCAAGTGGCATGATAGGAGTATTAAATTAGTGCTTTGCAGATAATTATCAAGGTAGAGAATGCTGCCTAGGTTTTCATAGAATCATAGAATCCCTACAGTGTGGAAACAGGCCCTCCGGCCCAACAAGTCCACACCAACGCACAGAGCATCCCACCCAGCCCTAACCCCTAATTTCCACATCCCTGAACACTACGGGAAATTTAGTATGGCCAATCCACCTAGCCTGCACATCTTTGGATTGTGGGAGGAAACCGGAGCACCCGGAGGGAACCCACGCAGACACGGGGAGAATGTGCAAACTCCACACAGACAGTCGCCCTAGGGACTGGGTTTGGTATAAGAGGAGCTGCTTAAGGAAAGCTAGTGTGGGTTTGTTAAAGGTAAATTATGTTTAATGGGGTAACAGTGAGCTTTAATAAAAGTAGGGCCAGGGACAGAAACCACAGTGCTACTTCTGTCCTGGACCCTCAGAGCCCTGGTACAGTGAACCTGCCCCTGACCTATGAATAGTAGCCTCACCCACAAGCCCCAAGCAGCTGCTCCCTCTTGAAGACTTCTGAGAAAGTACCAGACAACACAGGGACAGTAGTAATATGGACATGAAAATGGCCGAGTGACCGGAAAAGTGGTGAACATTTGTTTGTTGAACTGGTGGAAGGCTTATTGTGGAATTTCCTAGGGGCCAATGTTAGGACCCTCTGCTCTTCCTGGTCTATAATAATGATGTAGAACTTAGCTTAAACTTGCAGATGATACAAAACTTGGATATTGTTAGCTGTGAGGAGGATTGTCTAGACTTGCAAAGAGTGTAAACAATGCTGAAATGTGCAGAGAAGTGGCTGCAGAGAAGTGTGAAGTGATCCATTTTTGTTAGGAAGAAAACGGAGAGACAGTGTCAAAGGTACAGTTCTAATTGGTGTGCAGGAAGAGAGAGATATGGGATTGTACGTGAATAAACCTTCAAAGGTCAGGAAGACCTTGGGGTGTAAATTGTAGTTGAACATCCTCCAAGGTCAGGGTTCCCATTGTGAGGATGACAGGAAAATTGTATTTCCTCCTTCTATGATAAAACAAAAATCCTGGGTGTTGGAATTTGAACTCCATACTAAACCCCAGAGAAGGAGAATACTTGTCAGGCTGTAACGTTATTGGCAAAATGAACAATCATTAACTTGGAATGCAAACTAAAGAGACATTTTTCTTAACTCTAGATTTTTGTTATCAAATTCAAAATCCACCATGGTGGGATTTGAACCTGGGCCCCATGCAAGTCATAACTTTGTAGCAAGTGCTGTACTACCAACTTTCTCCTTTCGAAGAGTTCCCCGCTGCATGTTTTCTTGACAACATGCTATCCCCTAGTGAGAGCAAAGACTCTAGGCATGCATACTATTTTTACACCCTTAATGAAGGCAACCTTTGCAATATTCAGTCTGTCTGTCTACCTGTTATTATTACACCTAAAATTTCTTCCCAAATATTTCTAATTCATGAAGAATACTCACAGCTTCCTAACCTTAACTTGTATTTTTTTCCACATTTCTTGCTCTGACCGTCCTTCTAACCAATCAGTACTCCAGCTTTGGCTTCTGTTTACTGCTATCTGGAGCCCAAATATAAAATATGTCCCAAACCAGAACCTGGTTGTGTAATGTGTTTTCTTTTTGCTCCTTGCGGCTGAGTTTGATTCTTAAATGCCAGCTGAGATTTCTTGACAAAATCTAAGTGATACATTCAGATGAAGGTTTTGGTGATGGAAAGCTATGTACAGCACGCTTTGATAACTTGAGCCTTATTAATTACACAAATGTGCCAATGAGGTGAAGTCTAACATGGGTAAAGTCACACAATTGTTTGTGAAGATGCAGAAGTATGCAAATTGCGTTATCCAGCCCTACAGGAAAATCCAGGTTCACATCAGCATATATTGATTATTTGAATTGAACAGCTTGGCTTTCTGTAGATGCCCAGGGCAGTTAGTGTAATTTTCCTCAAATGCTAATGAAACTTGGATGTCTCAAGACAAATATGCATGACAGTGACTTGATAGATCATGGAAAAGAATAGTTAGTATTTTTCATAGACGGATCCACGGAATATCAAGAGATGTTTGCCCAACCAGAGCATGATCATACTTTCTGTGCTTTTTTTATTGCAATTCCCAGGTGTTGCTGAGGTGTACCGAGTGGCGAAGAGAGTGCAAGGTGGAATGAAGTCTCTAAGTATTAGTACTGAAACACTGCAAAAGAGTCTGAGGGACATTGAGATAATCTGGAACAATGTGCAGGCTTTCATCTCATTTAACCCTTCCGTGTTACGAATGATGGTAAGTCCATTTAAGGCTAGAAATTACTAAAAGATGCTTTGAGTGTTCATATGACACTACTTTGCTTTTTATTTACTCCATTTAGCTTGTCAAAGACCTTGATAAGCAGATGGTCTCATTCAAAAACATTTCTTAAATCTTTGGTAATTTTGAGTTTGCACATAGCCCGATATTTAATCGTGAATCCTCCACATTTCAGAATGAACAGGCTTTTAAAATGCAGGTGTCCAATTTCAGCAAGAGGAGTAAATTAAGCTGAAAATTTAAAACCTGTGTTGGAAAACAAAATTTCTAAAATAGAAAAAAATGCATGTTTTTTGTTTTGTTTGATTGTGCATCATTCCACAGATGAATATCATGTTGCAAATGGAAGCTGATTGTTGATGAAACAACAAAGTTTTCATTTTCCAAGGTCATTATTTACCTCCAGCACCATAAATTGTTGTTTGTACTGCTGCCTGTGTCAGGCCCACATTGGTTGAATTTATTGGTGTTTCGACTTTTATCAGTATGGTCTTGGAAGGATAGTGTCCCTGCTTTTGAACCAAAAACTCCAGGTTCACGTCCCATACTGATAATTTTTTTTAAAAAATGACATACTTGTTTGATGTGGGCATCACTGGCTGGGTCAGAAATTTATGGCCCATCCTTGGTTCCCTTGATCTGAAGACTTGTTAGGCCATTTCAGTGGACCTAAAGAGTCAGCAACATTTCTGATCTAGAGTCACACATAGGCCAGACCATGTAAGAATTGCAGATTCCTTACTATATGGGTTTTTTTATGATAGTTGACATTTAGGTTTGTTTTTTATTCCAGATTTTTAATGAATCCAAATCTGCCATGATGGGATTCAAGCCCGCGTCCCTGAGTGTTAGCTTGAGGCTCTGGATTACCAGTAAAATACAACAAAGAAAAGTGGATACTGTAAATCTGGAGAAACTCGCAGATGTTGCATCATCTGTGGAGTGAAAGCAGAGTTAAAGGTTTGGGTCCGGTGACCCTTCTTCAGAACATTCCATAGAGGGTCAGCGGACTATAAAGTCTAATTCTGCTTTCATGTTGACTCCGCTTTCTCTCCACAGATGCTGCCGCACCTGCTGAGTTTCTCCAGCAATTTCTGTTTTTACTCTGGATCACTGGTCCAGTGAAATCACCGATATGCTATCACCTCCCCCAGTGGCCAAGGAAGTCACATCATGACATTGGAATGCAGGAACTTGTGTAGGCCATTCAGCTCATTGAGTCTGCTCCACCGTTCACTTAAATCATAGTTGATTGTCTACCTCAACTGCCTCCTTGCCATACTAGTGGTAGAAGTTGTGTTGCTATGAGTCAGACTAGCCTTGGTGCAAAGAACTCTTGCATTCTCGAATTAATCTTGGGTATGTCTTAATCGTGACACAAGATGTTGGAGGCAGGATAATGTATTCTTTATAGCACAATAGTTTATCCAGCAACAGCTTTAAATATAGTAATGTATATAAGAAAATAAAAGAACAAAGGAAGCAACTTCAAGATTCTCCAGAGGCTAAATCAGCAGTGTATATTTTCTCTTTTTTTTTGTTTTTTACCTGGATATTTTTGAAAGAGCAAAGAGTGCATTTGGTTTGATGAATGGTCTTCAGTAGCGTCACGCTGGACTCTAGTCTTTAACTCTGTTTCACTCTACGTAGATGCTGCCAGGTCCTGCTGAGTTTCTCCAGTGTTTTCTGTGTTTGTTTTGGGGTTATCAGCTGCTGAGGAAGAGTGGGAGCTCTGTCTCATGGTGCTGCAGTCCTTATTTATGTGGAAATATTGAAAAGCCCTTGATTAAATCAGCGAATCACTGAACCACTTAGATCATTAATGCTCCCAATTTTGATCTCTAAGGCTGAATTGATCCAGCTCTGTTTGCCTCAACACTCTTAGGATAGGGAGGAAACCATCAACCATAAAAATACAGTCAGTTGTACCACTCACATTGCTGCCTTTGTTAAGGAGAGCTGAGGAGTGGCAGCTGGAGTTTGAAGTGAGGCGTTGCATTTTGGTAAAACAAACTAGGGCAGGACTTGTACTGTTAATGATAGGGCCCTGAGGAGTGTTGCCGAACAAAGGGCCCAGCTGCCACTCCTCAGCCCATTGGCCCATATGATCAAGGTCCAGTTGTACTCTGAGATAGTCTTCATTATCCACTACACCTCCTATTTTGGTGTCTTCTGCAGACTTACTAACCATTCCTCCTGTATTCACTTCCAAATAATTTATATAAATGATGAAAAGCAGTGGACCCAGCACCCATCCTTGTGGCACACCGCTGGTCACAGATGTCTAGTCTGAAAAGTAACCCTTTACCGCCACTCTCTGTCTCCCATCTTCAAGCCAATTTTGTATCCAATTGTCTAGGTCCCCCTGCATTGCATGTGATCTAACCTTACTAACCAGTCTGCTATGTAGAACCTTGTCGAATGCCTTGCTGGAGTCCATATAGACAAAGTTTACTGGTCTGCCTTCAATCTTCTTTGTCACCTCTTGAAAAAAACTCAGTCACTGATCAGAACATTGAATGTAGGAGTTGGAACATCATGTTGCAGCTCTAAAGGACATTGGTGAGGCCATTTTTAGAATACTACATACATTTAGGTTACCCTTCTATTGGAAAGATTTTGTTAAACTTGAAAGAGTGCTGAAAAGATTTTGAAGGTTGTTGCCAGGGCTGGAGGGTTTGAGTTTAGGGAGAGACAGAATAGGCTGAGGCTTTTTCTCCCTGGAGCATCAGAGTGGTAACTTTTTTTTGAGGTTTATAAAATCATGAGGGGCATGGACAGAGTGAAAAGCCAAGGCCTTTTTCCTAGGGTGGGGGAGTCCAAAACTAGAGGGCATAGGTTTAAGGTGAGAGGGGAATGATTTTTTAAAGGACCTGAGGAGTAACTTTTTTTTTACAGAAGGTGGTGTGTATATGGAATGAGCTGCCACAGGTTACAATATTTAAAAGGCATCTGGATGGGTATATGAATAGGAGGGTTTAGAGGGATATGGGCCAAATGCAGGCAAGTGGGACTAGATCAGATTGGGATATCTGGTCAGTGCAGACAAATAGGAGCAATGGGTCTGTTTCTGTGCTGTCTGACTCTGACTCAAAATGGAAACTGAATTGTGAGATAACCTTGTCCTGTTTGCTACAAGTTGCCTTACATGCAGAAAAAATGTCAATACCATGAATGGACTATAAAGCTTCTACTCTTCACAATAGACTCGATACAGAGTCCTTTTAAAATTATTCTCTGACCTTCCTGAAACTAGCGACGCAATATTTTTGGTTACTTCAGTTCCTGAAGACATAATATTTAGATGACATATTAGCCTTGCTTGCGTCTTTTTAATCAATAGGCCTTTAGTACCCAAGGTTGGAACACCATTGCCTGATTTATCCCATTTACCCGCCTACAGTTTTCAACCTTGGGCAGTGCCTGAATTATGGGACCAGCTTTTGTTTCTACTTGAGCTGTCTTGTCCGATTGAATGCGCATGCAAGGACTCCAGAAAAGAAAGTGAAAATTATATTCTGTGCGTCACAGGATGACTCAACAGATTGGTATCATTTTTTTGGAACACAGGAACTTTTATCTCTTAAGTAGCAAACTGTGCATGGTAAGGGGGTGAAGATGTGTAACACCACTGCAAGGCTAAATACAGAGTCAAAGTTGTTGAGATTTGCTACAGGAGGCAATCAGCAAATTAAAAAATCAGCTCTCACTAAGTCCCTGCTGATCCAGCAATTTCAATGCGCTCATCAGATAAGGGTGTCATCTTGTCCATCATTACTTCCCCTTGAGAGTAACAGAGTTGTGGGTCTGGAGTCACATGTAGTTAGATATGGTGAAGGCTTTCTTCCCTAGAGGACATTACTGACCCAGATATGTTGCCCCGTCTGTAGTTCAATGCCCAAAATATGTTGTCCATCTTTTGGGTTAACAAATAGTTTGAAGAGCAAACCTGCTCAAGACTTGCTTGTCCCTATCAAACATTTGCAGGACAACCCCTGAAAAACCCGACAAAGAGAAGCAAGCCCAGCTTTCGTATCAAGAATCTGACTGGTGGTGTCATGCAATAAATAGTGATCCGGTCAAAAGAAATCAGTTCTAATGTAAATAAATACCCAGATTTTTGTATGCAAATGTTTGTCCACTTAAAGTGCAAGCATTTTGTGAGAATGGATATAGATTGGGGCTAATCATGATTCTTCCTGACACTAAAGCATACGTGGCCATGACATATGCGCCCTTCACAAGGTTAGGTCAACAGTATTTTATTTAAGTCGAAAGTGAACAAGCCAAAAGATGCACCCCTTCATGACCAATCTGGAACACAGCCCTGTCTGCATCTGTCACATTTTCAAGCAGTTTGTTAAGCCTGCCACCCAGTGGCACTTTGTAGAATGCCGTTGAAAGAGTTTTTATTGAAGAGGGACTCGTTTATGGAAAGAGTATCTGATGACCAACACGTTGGTTCAGTTTGTTTCATGTTTTAGCACACTGAATTACGCCCCATCTCTGTCTCCAATCTCCAGCCAAAACGTATCCTTCTTTGGTTGAAACGTGTGCATGCAATGTTTCTCGAGCTTACAGGAAGATTTTTTTTTATTTTGATATTCTGCAGCCTACTGAATCTGCACTGGACTGTTCAGCTATAACAGCTTCAGAAAATGCACAGAGTGAAACCTGTGGAGTATGTCTGCTCAGAACACTGAATGAGCCTAATGTAAGTATATTATTTTTAACATACATTTTAGGAACACAAAGAATATGAATAGAAATAGGTCACTTAGCCCCTTGAGCCTGCTCGGTCGCTAACTATAATCATGGCTAATCTTCTCTGCAACCCCACTTTCCTGCCCGCTCTCCATATGCCTCCATGTCCTGAGAGATCAAATTCCATCATTCTGTCTTGAATTTATCGTTTGAGGGAGCAACCACAACCTTGTGAGGTGCACAGACACAACACTTCACAATCTTGAGTGAAGGAAGTTCTCCACAATTTAATCCCGTGTGACTAGACCTGATCCTGACACTGTGTCCTCACGTTCTAGATTCCCCAGCTTGGATCGACAACCTCAGTGCCCACCCTGGGAAGCCCCTACAGAAACTTCTATGTTTCAGACAAGGTCACTTCACATTCTTCTAAACTCCAAAGTGTATAGGCCCCTGCTCATCCAGGGACCAATCTAAGGAACTTTCATCACTATGCAATTTCATCCTTCCTTCGATGCAGAGATCAAAACTGCATATCAGGATGGTCTTATCAAAGCTCTATACAATTAAAATAAGACTTCCTTATTCCTGTACTCAAATCCTCTTGCAATAAAGGCCAATATGCTATTTGCCTTCCTAAAGCTGGACTTTATGTTGCTTACATGAGTACATGTAAGTATCACTAAAGACTTACGAGTTTAATGCCATTTTAAAAATATTCAGTTTTTATGCTCTTACAAAAGTGAATAATTTCTCATTTTGCTGCATTATGCCCCAGTTATTTCCTGTTACCTGTTTGCTTAATCTATTTCATTTTGCAGCCTCTGTATCCTCATGGTTTACATTCCCACCTTTGTTCTAACAGCAAACCTAAATGCATTACTGTTTCTTATCATATGAATCATTATTACAGATTGTAACTTAGAGGCCACGGTGCTAATCATATTTATAGCCTGGCCTGCCAACTTGAAAATGCCGACTCTCTGCTCCTTGTCTAGTAGCAAATCCTCTATCCATGTCAATATATTAACTTCAATTTCATGAGCCCCTTGCATGCATATTAATCTTCAGGTGTGGCACATTTGTCGAATGTCTTTTAAAATTCAAGTATACTACATCTACTTGTCCTCCTTGATTCACCCAAGTCTTGGCATTCCAAAATAATAACAATTTGTGAAATGTGATTTCCCTTTATAAAACCATGTTGATTTTGTCTGATTGCCTTGATTTTAAGTGCCTTGTTAAGACCTCCTTAACAATAGACGCCAACTTTTGTCTGATGACTGATGTCATGCTATTTGACCAGTGGTTCCACATTTTCTCACCATATTTTCTTGAATCGTGGTATTACATCTTGTAACTTGTAATTGTCTGGAACTGTTCTGGAATCTAAGGAATTTATAAATTTAGAATCACTATCTCTGCAGGAACATCTTCAGAAAGTTAGGATATAGGTCATTAGACCCTTGGTAGTGATTAGCATTTAGAACTTCATTTCTCCAATCCTTTGTCTCTGCTGATATTAATGATCTATATTCCTTCACTCTTATTAGAGTGTTCTTTTCCTGCTATGTAACTCTATTTGTGAAGACAGACAAAATATTTGTTCAACATCTCTGCCATTTCCTCATTCCCCATGATAATTTCTCTTGTCTCTGCTTCTGAGGGACCAATGTTTACTTTAGCTGATCTTTTTTACATATTTCTAAAAGATCTGACTGGTCCATTTTCATATTACACATGTTCTGAAATGCTTCGATAGCCGTTTGTTGGTTTCTAAAATATTACCAATTCTCGGGCCTATGTCGCTATCCACTTTATGCAAGTGCTCTGATACTCAAGCTCCACATCTTTTGGGGTTGTTTCATCAAAAATTAATGATTTAAACATATTATTCAAAGACCCAGTTGATACCTGCTTGATGGACTCAAATTAACAGAAAAATCTGTCCCGGTTTTTGTACTTGACATGCTCTACTATTTATTATAAACAAACCAGCTTTAACCAGGAGCAAACAAAACTATGAATTATCAACATGTAACTAGCTGAAACTCTAACCCCTTCTTAAACCCCTATACACACACATGCAGATGGGCACCCACAAAGGAGGAGAAAGTATTGGAGAAACACAATTCAGTAACACCAAGTCCACAGGCTTCAATGAGATGTCCCTTCTGTGTATTCAGAATCCTCCTGATTTTGAATTTTCAGTTCTTTGAACATAAGAACGTAAGAACTAGGAGCAGGAGTAGGCCGTCTGGCCCTTCGAGCCTGCTCTGCCATTCAATAAGATCATGGCTGATCTTTTCGTGGACACAAATCCACTTACCCGCGTTCTCACCGTAACCCTTAATTCCTTTATTGTTCAAAAAAAAAATCTACCTTTTCTTTAAAAACGTTTACTGAAGTAGCATCAACTACTTCACTGGGCAAGGAATTCCATAGATTAACAACCCTCTGGGTGAAGAAATTCCTTCTCAATTCAGTCCTAAATCTGCTTCCTCTAATCTTGAGGCTATGCCCTCTTGTCCTAGCTCAGGACATGGGGTGATTGGCACACAAATTATTCAATCTTTTAGTCACTGATTAATCATTGAATCCCTACAGGCCATTCGGTCCACACTGACCCTCCGAAGAGCATCCCACCCAGACACACCCCTACCCCTGTATTTCCCATGGGTACGATCAGCAACTTAGCACAGCCAATCCACCAAACCTGCACATCTTTGGACTGTGGGAGGAAGCCGGAGCATCCGGAGGAAACCCACACAGACACAGGGAGAATGTGCAAACTCCACACAGACAGTGGCTGGAGGTTGGAATCGAACCTTGGTTCCTGATGCAGTAAGGCAGCAGTACCAAATACTGAGCCACCGTGTCACCCACTGGTTAGAAGCAACACCTTACAACAAAAGGTGGAAGAGAATAGTGAACTACCTTCTAGTTTTTGGTTACTTCACTGCAGAGAGAGGGGAAAAAGAGAGATGGTGTTCGTGCAGTGTGAAGACCTTCTGTCCCTGTTTTGTTCACACACTAACTGCCCACCTGCCCAGGAGCCACTCGGAGAATTGTTGCCATGTTGATGACTCCTGGCCTCTGCAACTGGTCCAAATTAATAAAAAAAACAAATCATCTACATGTGCTGGACACTCCCACTATGTAGTTCGGTCTCAAACATTTGTTTGAACAAATCAAGTTCAAAATCAACTCGTAATGAATTCCAGTAACTTGTTTTTAAAAGCGCAGCAACTTCTTTCACAATCCTTGGTTTACAACAATATCTGTTTCGCATTTTGGTCCACAATCCAAAATAAAGAAGAATAAAAAATGTGGTATTTACACTTGGTACAGTTATCTGAAATGTTGCAAGCCTCTCCTTTTACTCCAATGCTAAGTAATCTTATGGGATCACAGATGGATCTTTCTCACTGAGTCTTTCTTTAAACAGAATGTATTTTTGTTGAACATTTTTAACTGTTTGTTCAAATATTTCTCACTGTTTATTTACCACCATATCTTTTAGTTTATTTAGCTGGTCAACTTTAGCCAGCTTTCTCCTTATACCAACGTAATTGGCTTTAAATTTAAGATTCTTGTTTGGGAAAGACATTAAACCTGTAAATCTTGTTCATAGATATTGTAGATTTAATATGAAATGTATGTAGAACCACACAGTTGTACAGCATGGAAGCAGACCCTTCAGTCCAACTCATCCATGCTAACCAGATATCCTAAATTAATCTAGTCCCATTTGCCAGCATTTGGCCCATATTCCTCTAAACCCTTCCTATTCAAATACCCATCCTTTTAAATGTTGTAATTGTACCCACCTTCACCACTTCCTCTGGCAGCTCATTCCATACACGAACCATTTTCTGCATGTAAAAGCTGCCCCTTGGGTCCCTTTTAAATCTTTCCCCTCTCATCTTAAACCAACGCCCTCTAGTTTTGGACTCTGCTACCCCAGGGAAAAGACCTTGGCTATTCACCCTATCAATGCCCCTCATGATTTTATAAACTTCTATAAGGTCACTCCTTAGCCTTCAATGCTCCAGGGAAAACAGACACAGCCATTTCAACTTCTCCCTATAGCTCAAACCCTCCAAACCTGGCTACATCCTTGTTAAATCTTTTCTGAATCCTTCCAAGTTTCACAACATCCTTCCAATAGCAGGGAGACCAGAATTGAATGCAGTATTCCAAAAGTGGCCTAACCAATGTCCTGTACAGCCACAACATGACCTCCCAACTCCTATATTTAATGCACTGACCAATAAAGGAAACATACTAAACGCCTTCCTCACTATCCTATCTACCTGCAACTGTACTTTCAAGAAACTATGAACCTGCACCCCAAGGTCTCTTTGTTTAGCAACACTCCCCAGGACTTACATTCAGTATATAAGTCCTGCCCTGATTTGCCTTTCCAAAATACAGTGCCTCACATTTATCTAAATTAAACTCCATCTGCCACTCCTCGGCCCATTGGCCCATCTGATCAAGATCCTGTTGTACTCTGAGATAACCTTCTTTGCTGTCTACTACCTCTCCAATTTTGGTGTCATCTGCAAACTTACAAACCATACCTCCCTAAATTCACATCCAAATGATTTATATAAATTAGGAGAGGCGATGGTCTAGTGGTGGTATCACTGGACTATTAATCCAAAGAGTCAGATAATGTTCTGGGGACCTAGGTTCAAATCCTGCCACAGCAGATGGTAGAATTTGAATTCAGTAAAATTGTTGATCGGTTGTTGGGGACTCACCACCGATCCTTGTAACACATTGCTGGTCACAGGCCTCCAGTCTGAAAAAATCAATCAATCCTCTTCGTTATTTCTTCAAAAAAGCTCAATTAACTTAGTGAGACACTATTTCCCATGCACAAAGCCAAGTTGACTATCCCTAGTCAGTCCTTGCCTTTCCAAATATATGTAAATCTTGTCCTTCAGGATTCCCTCCGACAACTTGCCCGTCATAACCAAATATAGTTGCCCAACTATATTCCCTGGCTTTTCCTTACCACCTTTCTTAAATAGTGGCACCATGTTAGTCAACCTCCAGTCTTCAGCATCTCACATTTGGCTAACAATAATACAAATATCTCAGCGAGGGTCCTAGCAATCACTTCCCTAGCTTCCCACAAAGTTCTAGAATACATTTGATCAGATCCTGGGGATTTATTCACCTTTATGCATTTTAAGATGTCCAGCATCACCACCTCTGTAGTATGGACATTTTTCAAGATGTTGCTATTTATTTTCCCACATTCTCTAGCTTCCATAATCTTCTCCACAGTAAACACTGATGCAAAATACTCATTTAGTATCTCCCCCATCTCCTGCGGTTCCACACATAGGTGGCCTTGCTGATCTTTAAGTGTCCCTATTCTCTCCATAGTTACCCTTTAGGCCTTAATTATAGAATCCCTTTGGATTCTCCTTAACTCTATTTGCTAAAACTATCTCATGTCCCCTTTTTGATCTCCTGATTTCCCTCTTAAGTATATTCTACTGCCTTTATACTCTTCTAGGGATTCACTCTAGGGATCCCCGCTGTCTAAACCTGACATATGCTTCCTCCTTATTCTTGACCAAAACCTCAATTTCTCCAGTCATCCAGCATTCCCTAAACCCACCAGCTTTTCCTTTCACCCTATCAGGAACATACTGTCTCTGGATTCTCATTATCTCCTTTTTGAAGGCTTTCCACTCCCAAGCCATCCCTTTACCTGCGAATATCCGCCCCCAAACAACTTTTGAAAGTTCTTGCCTAATACCGTCAAAATTGGCCTTCCTCCAATTTAGATCTTTAACTTTTAGATCTGGTCTATCGTTTTCCATCACTATTTTTAAACTAATAGAATTATGGTCACTGGCCCCAAAGTGCTCCCCCATTGACACCTCAGTCACCTGTCCTGCTTTATTCCCCAAGAGTAGGTCAGGTTATGCACCTTCTCTAGTAGGTACATCCACTACTAAATCAGAAAATGTTCTTCATAGAATCATAACAGTCTGGAAACAGACCATTCAGCCCATCAAGTCCACACTGACCTCAGCATCCCACCCAGACCCATTCCCCTATAACCCACCTAACTTAAACATGCCTGAACACCATGGACAATTTAGCATGGCCAATCCACCTAGCCTGCACATTTTTTGGACTGTGGGAGGAAACCGGAGCACCTGGAGGAAACCCACGCAGACACGGGGAGAATGTACAAACTCCACACAGACAGTCACCTGAGGGTGGAATCAAACCCAGGTCCCTGGTGCTGTGAGGCAGCAGTGCTAACCGCTGAGCCACTTGTTCACGCTTAATAAATTCCTCTCCATCCAAGCCTTTAACACTATGGTAGTCCCAGTCTACATTTGGAAAGTTCAAATCCCCTAACATTACCACCTTATTATCCTCACAGACAAATGAGATCTTACAAATTTGTTTCTCAATTTGCCACTGACTATTGGGGTGGATCTGTAGTACAATCCCAATAAGGTGATTATCCCTTTCTTATTTCTCAGTTTCATCCAAATAACGTTCCTGGACGTAGTCCCAGGAATACCTTTCCTAAGCACAGCCATAATGTTATCCCTAATCAAAAACGCCACTTACCCCCACCCCCCCAACTCCCCAACTCCTTTCGATCCTTCCTGTGGCATCTATACCCTGGAACATTAAGCTGCCAGTCCACCTCTGAGCCACGTCTCTGTAGTTGCTATGATATCCCAGTCCCATGTTCCCAACCATGCCCTGAGCTCATCTGCCTTACTTGTTAGGCCTCTTGCATTGAAATAAATGCAGTTTACTTTATCAATCTGATCTCATTCTCTGCTTTATTCCTGCCTGTCCTGTCTATTATTACTTACTCCTTTTCCCAACAGCACCAGCCTCAGACTGTTCTCTTTCCTCATTATCTCCATGGGTCCCACCTCCCCCCTTGCTAGTTTAAATCCTCCCGAGCAGCTCTAGCAAATCTCCCCACCAGTATATTAATTCCTTTCCAATTCAGGTGCAATCTGTCCTTCTTCTACAGGTCAATGTCTACCCCAGAGAGATTCCAATGATCCAAAAATGTGAATCCGGCTCCTCTACACCACCTCCTCAGCTTCACATTCATCTGCTCTGTCCTCCTATTCCTACCCTCACTTGCTAGATATTACTCCCTCGAGGACATACTTTTTAAATACCTGCCTAATTTCCCTTATTCTGTCTTCAGAATCTTGTTGTTTTCTCGTCCTATGCCATTAATTCCAATGTGTACAAAGACCTCCTGCTGCTCACTCTCCCTTTCTCGAGAATATTCTGCATCCTCTGTGAGATATCTTTGATCCTGGCTCCAGGGAAGTAACACACACCATTCTGATGTCTCACAGTCAGCTGCAGAATAGACTGTCTGTGCCTCTGACTGGAGAGTCCCCTATCACAATCGATTGCTTGGACCCTGATGTACCCCTTGTTACATTAGAGCCAGTCTCAGTACCAGAACCTTGGCTGTCAGTGCTACATCCCCCTGAGAGTCCATTACCCCCTACATTTTCCAAAACAGCATACTTGTTTGAGATGGGTTTAGCCACAGGAGACTCCTGCACTACCTGCACTACCTGCCTACCTCTCCTACTTTTCTTGGAGCTCACCCATCTGCCTGACTGTATCTGCAGTTTTTTTCCCCACCCCGCAACTGCCATCTACCACACTCCCTAGCTGCTGTAAATTCCTCATTGCCTCTAACTGCCGCTCCAACTGATCCGTGCAATCAGATAAGATTTGCACCCAAACACACTTCCTGCAGACATAATCATCAGGAAAATTGAAACTCTCCCTAATGTCCAGCATCCAACAGGAAGAGCACATCACTCTACTAAAGGCCATCCTTGCATCCTAACAATAGAACAGTCTCACTGATCTAAAAACTCTGCTCCAGGCTACTACGTTCTGAGGAAGGGTCACCGCACCCGAAACGTTAACTCTGTTTTTTCCTTCACAGATGCTGCCAGATCCGCTGAGCTTTTCCAGCAACTTTGTTTTTGTACCTGATTTACAGCATCTGCAGTTCCTTTGGTTTTTACTTAGTATCTATGTTTATATTTTTATATTTTAAAGTTTAACCAAGAGACAGATCTCAATCAAACATTTAATCAAAAATAAACCCCACTCTACTCACTATTGTAGATTTACAATATGATCACTATTTCCCTGTAGATCTTATATTATGAAATTACTAGTTAATCTTGCCTAATTGCACAATACTGTTATTCCAGGAAACTGCTCTGAGAGTATTCTACAACTTATCTTCCAAACTGTTTTTGCCAATTTTACGTGTCCAGTCCATGTGAAGATTTAAGTTCCCTACGATTGTTACATTACCTCCTTATTACAAGCTTCAATTATGTTGTAACTAATGCTTTGTACAGTGCTGTAACTACTCTCTGCAACATTTTCTGACCTTTTGTTATTCATAATCTCCATCTGTGCAGGACCCCACTCCTAATGTTATTAGCCAAGATCCTTTCTCACTGTGGTACTTGTATTATCCTTTACCACCAGGGCTATTCCTGCTCTTTTACAATTCTGTCAACATTTTAAGTTTTATGAATTCTGGAATATTTATTTATCAATCATTTATTGAAGCTTGAGGCAAGATTGACAAGTTTCATGAGAAGCCTACATTATAGCCTTTCCCATAGATGTGGATTTTCAGCTCCGAATATATTGTGCAAAAGGCTTTGTTCTTTCTTTTATGATGAACCTGTCTCCCATCAACTTTGGGTTAATGAATGTAATAATTTCCTGGCTATGCCATAAATATTTCCTTAAATTTAGGAATATTAAATCTTGTTTTACGTAAATAAAGAAATCCTGAGAGGGTCTCAAGTTATGATTGAAAATCTTCAAAAAATAGTTTGATTATCTTGGTTCTTAAAGAAGTTATGGATTTACTTTTAAAGTCAACTTAAGAGAAAAGTTTCTCAGTCTTACTTCACTCTGTCATTTTTACAGGACTTCAATGATACAGAACATTCAATTCTTCATAATGGATGCCATTACCATGCAAGTTGTGCAAATTTTTGGCTAAACTGTGTGGACTCAAACTTACCTGGTCTGATTGCTATGGAGGAAAATTCTGAGGACTTGAATTTGGAAGAGCTCTCAATTCTTGGACAAAACTGCTTGGACACTAATCCTAAAGACTTTACTGTTCCTATAACTCAATGACTGTAAATTGTATTCATTCTCAGAGTCAGTGCATTTGTTTCGGAGTGAATGGTTTTGTCAAAGTTGCCCTGCGTTATGCGCCAAGAGTTATGTTAATGTGGCTTATAGATATTAACTGTATGACAAGTGATCGTTCAAGAGGCTTTTCTTGTCTGTAAAATGTTAACTTTTCTATGAAAAAAAAAATACACTATCATGTAATTTCTTTACTCAGAGAGTAGTAAGGGCATGGAATGCCCTGCCTGCAAAAGTAGTAGACTCGTCAACTTTAAGGGCATTTAAAGGGTCATTGGATAAACATATGGATGATAATGGAATAGTTTAGGTTAGATGGGCTTCAGATTGGTTTCACAGGTCGGCGCAATATCGAGGGCCGAAGGGCCTGTACTGCGCTGTAATGTTCTATGTTCTATGTTTGACTAATTTTATCAAGTAATTGGAGCACTTATCCACAAAGGTGGATAAGTTTAATGCAGTTGATCTTATGTATGTGGACGAATGAAAGGCATCTGCTGAAGTACCAAAACTCAAGCCCAGAGATGTTGTCTGTGTGGATAGTATAATGAATAGAGAGCAATGATGAATAGTGTTTTTTCAGTCTGAAGGAAGTATACAGGGGTGTTGCCCAGGGATCAATATTAGGACCACAGCTCTTTTTGACAAGTCGTAATTACCTGCATTGGATATGCAGGACATAGTTTCAAAGTTCACTGACAATAATGAAACTAATCTATAGTAACAGTGAGAGGATTATTCAGAGACATCAGGAGGAGAAAGACTGAGAAAACAGGCAGGCTTATGGCAAATGAAATTCATCACATCAAAAATAAACAAGCAACAGTGCATTCTGCCGGGACAAATGAAAGGTACAATTTGATACAAGTGCAGGTACAGAGCCATGGGGATGAATGTAGGAAAATGTTCAAAAATTGCTGATAATGTGGGAAAGCAACATAAATATCATGTTGGACAGAAGGAGGCCATTTGGTCCTTCAAGAAATACAGGAAATAATTGGTTTCTGAGGACTGGAGCACAGAAGCTAGAGAGTTATGCTAAACCTTTATAAAATACTATTTGGATTTGAGCTAGTATGTATATTTAAATCTAGACAGCATATAGAGGGAACGCTAAAGCTTTTAAGCGGGTGCAGGATACATAATTGACTAGGGCTAACAGGAGGAAGCCAGAGCATAACGATGTTCAAGTCCAAAGATGTGTAGGTTTGGTGGATTGGCCATGCTAAAATTACCCCATAGTGTCCAGTGAGCTGTAGGCTAGGTGGATTAGCCATGGGAAATGTGGGATTACAAGGATAGGTCCGGGTGGGATTCTCTTCGGAGGGTTGGTGTAGACTCAATGGGCCAAATGGCTTCTATCTACACTGTAGGGATTCAATGGGTATGTCTTTGGGAAAGGCAGTCTTGTCCTCAGACTCCTTCTTCACATGAACTGTGGGAACTATAGTGGCCCCAATATTGGATTCAGCCATGACGAGAGATTAGACAGGCTGGGACTGTTTTCCTTACAGTGGGAACTGATGAAGGTGTGCAAAGTTTTGAGTGGCAAAGTCAGGATAGGGAGAAACTTTGGCTTAGTAATGGGGAAAACAACGATGGGGGCTCAGTCTAGAGGTGCACAGGAGGTTTAAAAAGGATTAAATTCATTTCTTTCATTCAGAAGGCAATGAGTGTCTGGAACTCACTGCCTGTAAATCTGGTAAAGGGAGGAAATCTCAAAATATTGAAGAACAATTTAGATAAACACTGAAACACCACAGCACACAGGGCTATGGATAAGTTGCTAGAAAATGTAGTTAGAGTGGATAGGTATTTGATGACCAGCATGGAATGATGGGTCGAAGGATCACTTTCCCTGCTATAAATGCTCAATAACTCACTCCCTAACTTGATAGAGAAAGAAACGAAGATGTCTGCTTGGTCTGCCTTCACAGAAAGCAGCGATAAGCCCCACCTACTGGGCAGCCTTGTCATCAAGCCACACCCAATGGGCAGCCAGGGTAACAGACCACACCCACCAGCCAGTCATGACAACAGACCACACCCAACTTTCTCACCATGACAACAAAGCCTGCATGTCTTTGCCGCCATAGCAACACGTTGTACCCCATGTATTCACGATAAGGAGGTGCCGGTATTGGACTGGGGTGGACAAGGTCAGAAATCACACAACACCAGGCTATAGTCCAATGGGTTTATTTGAAATCACAAGCTTTTAGAGCCTCACTCCTTCTTCAGGTGTTAGTGAAAGAGGTGGCATCAGACACAGAACTTATAAGTAAAAGATCAAAGGGTCATAGAACTGATGCGAATATACTGAACAAACCTAAGATGGCTATTAAATCTTTAATCAGTTAGAAAGGAGATACAGGTTTCAATTGATTAATGTACAAATCCCAGAATTTCTTTCAAGTCACTGTCCTGAGATAACTGAAGGTTTTATCAGTATACCAGAGGTGACATCTCAGGTCAGACAATGCATTTTAAGTGTGAGGCCTTATTTAGAACTATCTGTGTTTTAACTTGGAGTCAGACTGGTTTTATTTCCAAAGCAAGAATTTATAAAATGACACGTTGACTAACTATCTACAAATTGTGTGCTTTTTGAACAAAATAGAATGTATCTGCAATTACAAATCTGCAAATGCAGATTCATCCAATAGATTTGTACGTATGTGTGCGTGTGTATGTATGTGTGCGTGCGCGTGTGTGTGCGTGTATATGCCAGGGAGAGAGAGAGAATGTGTGTGAGAAAGGGAGAGAGAGAAACTGAGTGTATGTCTGAGTGAGAAAGAGCATGTGTGTATATCTGTGTGTGTGAGTGTTTGTGTGTGCACGCATGCATGTGTGTGTCAGAGAGAGAGAGTGTGTGTGTATGAGAAAGGGAGAGAGAGAAAGAGTGTGTGTATGTCTGTGTCTGTGAGTATGTGTGTGTGTGTGCATGTGCATGTGTGCGTGTGTAAGGGAGAGAGAGTATGTGAATGAGAGAGGCAGAGAGAGAATGAAAGTGCGGGTGAGAGTGTGTACAGTGTGGTGGGGTCACCTTTAGTGTGGCATGAACCCATGATCCTGGTTGAGGCCAACCTCATGAGTAATGAACTTGGCTATCAGCCTCTGCTCGATGACTCTGCGCTGTTGTGTATCCTGAAGTCCGCCTTGGAGGACGTTTACCCGAAGATCCAAGGCTGAGTGTCCTTGCCTGCTGAACTGTTCTTCCACTGGGAGTGTCTGTCACACACGCAGAGACACATTCTCTCTCTCCCTCACACACACACTCCCTCTCTTTCTCTCTCTCCCTCTCAAACACATACATACACTCTTTCTCTCCCTCTCACATAAACACATACACACACAAACACACACTCTCTCTCTCTCCCACACACACACGCATGCACACATACATATAAATCTATGGGGTGAATTTGCATTTGCAGATTTGTAAGCACAGATACATTCTATTTTGTTCAAAAAGCACACAATTTGAAGACAGTCAATCAAGGTGGCATTTTACAAATTCCTACTTTGGAAATAAAACCGGTCTGACTCCAGGTTAAAACACAGATTCTAAACAAGGCCTCACACCTAAAATGCATTGTCTGACCTGAGATTTCACCTCTGGTATACAGATAAAATCTTTAGTTATCTTGGGCCAATAACTGGTAAGAAACTCTGGGATTTGCATATTAATCAATCGAAACTCGCATCTCCTTTCTAACTGACTCAACATTTAACAGCCATCTTAGGTTTGTTCAATACATCCACATCAGTTCTATGACTCTTTGATCTTTTACTTATAAATTCTGTGTCCAAAGCCACCTCTCTCACTAACACCAGAAGAAGGAGCAAGGCTCCATAAGCTTTCAAATAAACCTATTGGACTATTACATGATGCTGTGTGATTTTTGACCATGATTATTCAGCCACAGCAATAGATTATGCCCGACAAGGCAACAAACCCCGCCCACTCCAAACGTCGGACAGATCGAGCCAATGAAAAGATGCTTTAAATATTTGCATTCACTAAACCTAATGCAATGTGATAATATGCTATTACATACGTTGTAAGTTTCAATAACCCATACATAATTAAAGCTCAGATGTCTGATTTATCAATCATTATGTTGTCTATTCCATATGAGGAAAATAAAATCTCACCACAATATAGAAGTGTACGGGCTTATGTAGATTTATAAGGCACTCAGCTCTAAACATTAGTCGTGCTCGCTTCGGCAGCACATATACTAAAATTGGAACGATACAGAGAAGATTAGCATGGCCCCTGCGCAAGGATGACACGCAAATTCGTGAAGCGTTCCATATTTTGCATTTTTTTTTCTGAAGGAAGGTCTAGCCTTCCTGCTCCTCTGATGCTGCTTGGCCTGCTGTGTTCATCCAGCTCTACACCTTGTTATTCCATATTTTGCACATTGCCCACATTACATTTCACTTCTAAAACATTACATTTCACCCTCTGCAAAGTGTCCAACCTCCCTTTCACTCAACAGGATCCCATAGCCCTTGGAATTTACTCCAGCAAAATATTTGCTGTTTAAAAAGATAATAAATAGTTATTGAAAATAACAAAATACTACAGAAGCCGCAAATCCTGAAGGAAAACCCCACTGCTGATAACACTCAGCAAAGATAAGCCACATCTACAGGTACAATGCATGGTGGAAGAGAGAAGCAGCTGGACGCCAAGGTTGTGGACCAACTCGGCAGCACTGACTTTTGCCGTTTTAAGTATATTTACTTCAGGTGTAAAAGGGTGAAAGAGATGAGGTGAAAGGGGGACTGGACAGTTCTAATAAACTGGTGGACGGTGTGAACTGAGGAATAGAGTTTTATCCAAAGTGAATGATATGAGAACAGAACTTCACTTTCGGGAAAGGGGAGATTAAAGTTTATCTGTTACAGGTTGAGGGGTGCACTGTGTCTGTGAACTCAGCCAAATGCTGGACACTGACTTTGTGAACTGGAGTTGTGGGGGATGAGGTATGGCTATATTGCTGGAGGAAGGACTCTGAAGTAATCGATGGTCTGTTGTTAAATCCAAAATGTGACCTTTGTTAAGATCCTCTGTGTTATGTATGTAGTTAGTGTGCTGCCTCTCTAAGGGACCTTAAGGTGACCTTATCCCCTTACAGCTCCAATTCACAAAGTCAGTCTCTAACATTTGGCTGAGTTCTCAGAGTCACTGCAGTCCACGACCTGTAATAGAGAATCTCTCATCGCTCCTTCCCAGGAAGTGAAGCTGCTGTTCTTATATCACTCACTTTGGATTAAATGCCTCTCCTAAAACGCAACTTCTATCTCTATTCCTAAATTCACACCCTCCACCAGTTTATTAGGACTGTCCAGTCCCCCTTTCACTGCATTTCTTTCACCCTTTTAACATCTGGAGTAAATATATTTGAAACGGCAGAAGTCGGTGCTGCCGAGTTGGTCCACAACCTTGGGGTCCAGCTGCTTTCTCTCTTCCAGCATGTACTGTACCTGAAGATGTGGCTTTTCTTTCAATAACTATTTTATCACTAACTCATTAAACAACTTAAATATTTTGCTGAAGAGCGTAAATCTCAAGGATTGTGGGATCCTGGTGAGTGAAAGGGAGGTTGGACACTTTGCAGAGGGTGAAATGTAATGTTTTAGAAGTGAAATGTAATGTGGGCAATGTGCAAAATATGGAACGCTTCACGAATTTGCGTGTCATCCTTGCGCAGGGGCCATGCTAATCTTCTCTGTATCGTTCCAATTTTAGTATATGTGCTGCCGAAGCGAGCACAGCTGAAACTTTGAGCTGAGTGTCTTATAAATCTACATAATCCCACACACTTCTATGTTGTGGTCAGATTTTTTTTCTTTCATCATATGGAATAGACAATATAATGATTGATATATCAGACATCTGAGCTTTAATCATGTATGGGTATTGAAACTTACAACATATGTAATAGCATATTATCACGTTGCATTAGGTTTAGTGAATGCAAATATTTAAAGCATCTTTTCATTGGCTCGATCTGTCCGACGTTTAATGTGGGCGGGGTTTGTTGTGAGGGCAGGCGTGGCCTATTGTCATGCCATGATTGGTGGGCTGTGCCTGTTGCCACAGCCTGAGGTGGGCATAGTATGTTGCCATGGCGACAGTGGTGGGCTTTGTTGTTGCCCAGTGGGCAGGGCCAATTGCTCTGCTGTGTCAAGCTGTGGGGGGGGGGGGGGGGGGGGGGGGGGCGGGTGGTGTGCAGGCAGCTCTTGTTTCTCTATGCCAGGTTAGGGAGTGAGTCATTGAGTTTTTACAGCAGGGGAAGAGATCCTTCGATCCATTTTGCCCATGCTGCTCCCTTGTGTGTAATTCCCAGTTTTAACAACTTAACAACTGGCAACAAGTGTGGGATCAGACATACTACTGGTTGCAAATGACGTTTTGTTTTTGATGTGAGGAGACGGAGTCCAGATTTCAGAAATGTTGGCATGGGATTGAGGAGGTAATGTGGAGGGAGACTTTCGCAGGATCTGGGCTGCAGTTGACACCAGGAAAGAGGGTAGTCACCAGGTAGCGAGCCAGAAACGGTGGTCGTGAAGGGACTCAGGCCGACAGCTGAAGAAGAGAGTTTGCACTTAAGTGCGAACGGAGTCACAGGGAATTGTCGCCAGGGGACTTGGGCTGTGGGCGATGGGAGAGACGGATGGTACATTAGTAGTTGGTGAGGGAGTGGCTGATGGGGAGGGGACTCGGACTGAGAACAGCCACTAGGCTCAAGTGGCAGGAAATATTCCCTGAAATGGGAATACAAAATAGCAGGACAATTTGTCGCGATGGGACTGTCTGATGAAGTGTCAAAAAATTGGACCTTATATACGGAATGCTTGAATTTGTTCTTAAAGGCAAACAAAGTGGCTGAGGACATCATTGCACCAGTTTACTTCAGTTCCAATGGGAGCAAGATTTTTACAATTCTAAGGAGTCTGGTACCACCAGAGAAATCCACGGAGAAGACATTTCAAGGGCTATGCAAAGTGTTAGGAGGTTATTTTCCATTCAAACTGCCAATGGTTGTGGAATGTTTCTGTTTTACAAACAGCTACAGCATGAAGGAGATTCCATCAACCCCAACTTGTGATCAACTTAAAGAAGTTCCAAGATGCCTTGTGGGACTACACAGTGTGGAGCTGGAGCAACACAGCAGGCCAGGCAATATCAGAGGAGCAGGAAAGCTGACGTTTCCGGTTGGGACCCTTCTGCCTGCTGTGTTCCTCCAGCTCCTCACTGTGTTATCTCTGACTCCAGCATTGGCAGTTCTTACTATTTCTGCCTTGTGGGATTATTTGGTTTGTGGTGTCCAAAATGAAGCCATCCAATGGAAGATACTAACAAGGAGATATATGGATTTCAAGGCAGATTTTGAAATGGCTATCTCAGTGATGTTGTCCACCAGCAAAGCAACACAGTTGGCTGTCGGCTCTCACGTGCTTATAATAGTTGTATCTCGGCAGAGTGTGGTACTAACTGTAGAATGCCACTGATATGGTAAGAGTGGCCACAAGGAGTCGACGTGTTTGACTCAAGAAGCCTAGCGCTGGAGGTGTGAGTGGGCCATATTGCCTGAAAATGCTGGGTACAACTCAAATAAGAGATGTTTAAAGGAGACGAGTCATCGGGCAATGCATAAGGCACATGTCGCCAGGCAGTGAATAGACAGGGAGAGCAAAGACAGGATTGACAGTGAGAAAGTTGGGCTTCATGATGAGGGAAAGAACCGGGGGTTCAGTCTGAAGGTGAACAGGAGAAAAAAAGTGAATTAAATATGTTTCTTTCTCATTCAGAAGGCAGTGGGTATCTGGAATTCACTGCCTGTAAATCTGATAGAGGGAGGAAATCTCAATATATTTAAGACTTATTTAGATAAACAGTGAAACACGATAGCGTGTACAGCTATGGGTAAAGTGGTGGAAAGTGGAATTAGAGTGGATAGATACTTGACAGCCAGCATGGATGCGATGGATTGAAGGATCTCTTCCCCTGCTGTAAAAATTCTGTGACTCACTCCCTAACCTGGCATAGAGAAACCAGAGCTAAAACAGTGTGGAGCTGGAGGAACACAGGAGGCCAGGCAGTACCACAGGAGTAGAAAAGTTGACGTTTCGGGTCGGGACCCTCTGATGCTGCCTGGCCTGCTGTGTTCCTCCAGCTCCACACTGCGTTATCTCTCACTCCAGCATCACCAGCTTCTTACTGTCTCTGAGAAACACCACCCGCCTGCTCACCCCCGCTTCACACAGCAGTGCAATAGGACCCGCCCACTGGTCCACAACCACGCCCACACCCGTCGCCATGGCAACACGCCACACCCGTCACACCCGCGTTGGTAACAGGCACCGCCCTCCATTCATGCCATGACAACAGGCCACGCCCGCCTTCGCAACAAACCCCGCCCACTGGCTTCGTTTGGCGACAGAACACACCTACTCAGAAAAACCAACAGGTCCGGCCAATGGAAACATGCTTTAACTTTATTTACATTGATTTACCCGAATCCAGCGCAGTAAATTAGATTACGCTACCTGTATACTTCGGGAAATTCTACATAATAAAAGCATAGATTTCTAATGTCTCGGTAACCACATAGCATGTTCCAAATGGTTACAAAAATGAATTAAAAGGAACATTCACCATGATATAGATTTGGTTGGATCTTTCAAGATTCATAAAGTAATCCGGGTCAAAAACTAAAACGTGCTCGCTTCGGCAGCACATATACTAAAATTGGAACGATACAGAGAAGATTAGCATGGCCCCTGCGCAAGGATGACACGCAAATTCGTGAAGCGTTCCATATTTTACACATTCACCATGTATCATTTCACCTGTTACAAGGTGTCTGCGTGGACCCCACCCACCAAACCCAGGTTACATCTTGATTCAGCTTGTCCTCGACTTCATTCACTAAATACTAAAATTGGAATGATACAGAGAAGATTAGTTTGGCTCCATGCGCACGAATGATGTGAAAATTCATGGAGCATTCCATATTTTACAATTTCACCACCTTACATTTCACCCACTGCAAAGTGTCTGTATGGACCCGGACATCAAACTCAGGTGTTCATTCACTGTTCAATGTTCAGTGATCACTGAACGCTGTTCTGAGGAAGGGTCACTGGACCCGAAACGTTAACTCTGATTTCTCTCCACAGCTACTTCCAGGCCTGCTGACCTTTTCCAGCAATTTCTGTTTTTGTTTCTGATTCACAGCATCTGCAGGTCTTTGGGTTTTCATTCACTTTAATCTCCTTTTCACTCCACAGGATCCCACAAGTTTGGGCTTTACTCTCTTTTAAGTTTTTAAAAATATTAATCACATAATACTTGTCAATATGCAATTAACAAAATATGCAGAAACTGCAAATCCTGTAGGATATCCCCAACTACTTATAATACTCAGGAAAGACAAGCCAAGTCTTCAGGAACCTGGTGGAAGAGAGAAGCAGCTGGACACTAAGGTTGTGGACCAACTCTGCACACTAACTTTTGCTGGAAACAGTGGTTTCAAATATATCTGAGATAGTAGGAACTGCAGATGCTGGAGAATCCGAGACAACAAGGTGCAGAGCTGGATGAACACAGCAGGCCAAGTAGCATCATAGGAGCAGAAAAGCTGACGTTTCGGGCCTAGACCCTTCATCAGAAAAGGGGGCGGGGAAGGGGGTTCTGAAATAAATAGGGAGAGAGTGGGAGGCAGATAGAAGATGGATAGAGGAGAGGATAGGTGAAGAGGAAACAAACAGGTCGAAGAGGTGGGGATGGAGCCAGTAAAGGTGAGTGTAGGTGGGGAGTTAGGGAGGGGATAGGTCAGTCCAGGGAGGACGGACAGGTCAAGGGGGCGGGATGAGGTTAGTAGGTAGGAGATGGGGGTGTGGCTTGAGGTGGGAGGAGGGGATAGGTGGGAGGAAGAACAGGTTAGGGAGGCGGGGACGAGCTGGACTGGTTTTGGGATGCGGTAGGGGGAGGGGAGATTTTGAAGCTTGTGAAATCCACATTGGTACCATTGGGCTGCAGGGTTGCCAAGCGGAATATGAGTTGCTGTTCCTGCAACCTTCGGGTGGCATTGTTGTGGCACTGCAGGAGGCCCAGGATGGACATGTCATCTGAGGAATGGGAGGGGGAGTTGAAATGGTTCGCGACTGGGATGTGCAGTTGTTTATTGCGAACCGAGCGTAGGTGCTCTGCAAAGCGGTCCCCGAGCCTCCGCTTGGTTTCCCCAATGTAGAGGAGGCCACAACGGGTACAGCGGATGCAGTATACCACATTGGCAGATGTGCAGGTGAACATCTGCTTGATGTGGAAAGTCTTCTTGGGGCCTGGGATGGGGGTGAGGGAGGAGGTATGGGGGCAGGTGTAGCACTTCCTGCGGTTGCAGGGAAAAGTGCTGGATGTGGTGGGGCTGGAGGGGAGTGTGGAGCAGACAAGGGAGTCACGGAGAGAGTGGTCCCTCTGGAAAGCAGATAAGGGTGGGGAGGGAAAGATGTCTTTGGTGGTGGGGTCGGATTGCAGATGGCGGAAGTGTCGGAGGATGATGCATTGGATCCGGAGGTTGGTGGGGTGGTATGTGAGGATGAGGGGGATTCTTTTTTGGTTCTTATTGCGTGGACAGGGTGTGAGGGATGAGTTGCGGGAAATGTGGGAGACACGGTTGAGGGCGTTCTCGACCACTGAGGGGGGGAAGTTACGGTCCTTGAAAAACGAGGAGAACTGAGATGTACGGGAGTGGAATGCCTCATCCTCGGAGCAGATGCGGCGGAGGCAAAGGAATTGGGAATAGGGGATGGCATTTTTGCAGGAAGGTGGGTGGGAGGAGGAGTATTCTAGGTAGCTGTGGGAGTCGGTGGGCTTGAAATGAATAACGGTTTCTGGGTAGTTGCCTGAGATGGAGACAGAGAGGTCCAGGAAGGAGAGAGAGGTATTAGAGATGGTCCAGGTAAACTTAAGGTTGGGGTGGAAGGTGTTGGTGAAGTGGATGAACTGTTCGAGCTCCTCGTGGGAGCACGAGGCGGCGCCGATACAGTCAGCAATGTAACGGAGGAAGAGGTGGGGTTTACGGCCAGTGTAGGTATGGAAGAGGGATTGTTCCACGTAACCTACAAAGAGGCAGGCGTAGCTTGGGCCCATGCAGGTACCCATGGCCACCCTCTTTGTCTGTAGGAAGTGGGAGGAATTGAAAGAGAAGTTGTTGAGGGTGAGGACAAGTTCGGCTAAGCAGATGAGGGTGTCAGTGGAGGGGGACTGGTCGGGCCTGCTGGACAGGAAGAAGCGGAGGGCCTTTAGGCCATCTGTATGGGGAATGCAGGTGTAGAGGGACTGGACGTCCATGGTAAAGATGAGGTTGGAAGTTCTGGAGGAGGTGCAGGGCGTGGGTGGTGTCATGGACATAGGTAGGGAGTTCCTGGACCAAGGGGGAGAAAATGGAGTCCAGATAGTTGGGGATCAGTTCGGTGGGGCAGGAGCAGGCGGAGACAATGGGTCGACCAGGGCATTCAGGTTTGTGGATTTTGGGAAGGAGATAGAAGCGGGTGGTGCGGGGTTGGGGAACGGTGAGGTTGGAGGCCGTGGGTGGGAGGTCACCTGAGGTGATGAGGTTGTGGATGGTTTGGGAGATGATGGTTTGGTGCTCGGGGGTGGGGTCATGATCAAGGGGGCGGTAGGAGGAGGTGTCGGAGAGTTGGCGTCTGGCCTCGGCGATGTAGAGGTCAGTGCGCCATACTACAACAGCGCCTCCCTTGTCCGTGGGTTTTATGGTGAGGTTGGGATTGGAGCGGAGGGAGTGGAGGGCTGCACGTTCTGCAGGGGAGAGGTTGGAGTGGGTGAGTTTCAAGGACCGTAACTTCCCCCCCTCAGTGGTCGAGAACGCCCTCAACCATGTCTCCCACATTTCCCGCAACTCATCCCTCACACCCCGTCCACGCAATAAGAACCAAAAAAGAATCCCCCTCGTCCTCATGTACCACCCCACCAACCTCTGGATCCAACGCATCATCCTCCGACACTTCCGCCATCTGCAATCCGACCCCACCACCAAAGACA